TTTACTCTATTAACCCGATCAACTTAACAAGCTGTCCCCTCATACTTATGTTCCTTATGTTTGTAATTAAAGTATGTCGCGTTTAAGTTTAACATAGAAGTCAATCACACTGGATCTTTTGATAACAAGGTGTGGAGCTGGATGAAAACAGCAGGCCAAGCAGCATCATAGGAGCAGGAAAGCTGACGTTTCAGGCCTAGACCCTTCTTCAGAAATGGGGGAGGGGAAGGGGGTTCTGAAATAAATAGGGAGAGAGGGGGAGGCGGATAGAAGATGGATAGAGGAGAAGATAGATGGAGAGGAGACAGACAGGTCAAAGAGGCAGGGATGGAGCCAGTAAAGGTGAGTGTAGGTGGGGAGTTAGGAAGGGGATAGGTCAGTCCAGGGAGGACGGACAGGTCAAGGGGGCAGGATGAGGCTAGTAGGTAGGTGGATCCACTACGAAGGAAACCCAGAAGTGAGGCAATCCATGTCAACGGACCCCAGAGTTTAAAAACCAGGCGGGAAAACACACTGACGCTTCATCGGCGGCTGCACTGAGGATGTTACCAAGCACGGTAATGAAACGTCTGCAAAACAAGAAACCAGCTTGGTGAGCCAACCAACTTAAACAACCTCAACACCCACAACCCGAGCTACAAATCTACTCCAAAACCTTAGATTTTATCTATCTTTTTGTGAATGCTTTGCACATTTAGATAAACGACCTTTTCTTAAATAGCTATTATTTGCATAGATCTTATTTAACAATACAATTTGACCTCTAAATTTTGCGTCCTCTTGTCCCACTCTGGTCTTTACCCAAATCAGTAGAGATCATGGCAACCCTTCTTCTTTAGATTTCAATATTTCCATTCCATTCAACCCTCCCCTGCCATCTCTTTAGATTTTAAGCCCTAGATGTACAATTTCCAAAACAATGATACCAGCTGGTGTCAATGTTCCAGGAGCTGAAAAGCCTTGTTCCCATACCAATGTTTGAGCCACACAATTCTCCAAACTACCTGATCCTATGCCAATTGATACATGGTTCAAGAAAGAATCCAGAGATGATTAGTTCAGAACCTCTGAATTTGGATCCTAACTCCTCAAACCCTCAATACCATCCGCTATAAGCCAATTATCTTGGCTAGTCCTTCAAAAAACTTACACTAATTAAGTGTGCAGATTGAGTCAGTGTTCATATCAAACAAGTACGACATAGATAGTAAATTAACGCTTTTCTTTCAATCAACCTCAATTGAATTTAGAAAATCTCAGGACATTCCTTACAAACTTGCATACATGGCTATTAGCAGCTTCATGCCAATTTAATAAATTTAAATGACAACTGGGACAGGACGGGGCACTTGTAGCACCGTGGTACTGCCACTACCTCTGAGCCAGAAAGCCTGGTTTCAAGTTCCACCTGCGCTACAAGTATGGCATAGAACAACTGAACACTTTCTTTAAAAAAATCTAAAATACAAATCTAATTTGGTCTTTTCCATAGCTCAATCCAATGAAAGGCACAGATTAAGTCAGGAATGCAAAAATTTTGGGCTTCAGCATTTGACATTGTTTTTAAAACATTATTTCTGTTGCTACACATTAAAAACTTCTTGTGCAATCACAATTGGGTTGTTCTAAGTGATTTTCCTGCAAGCAGCTGTTAGTCCACTTTGGCTAACTCTCATCTCATCAAAATCCACCTTCCCCAACACTTCTGGTCCATCTTAGTCCATAATTACCTTAAACCTTAGTGACCATAATTTACTGTCACTGAAGTGCTCCCAGACTGCCACACTTACCACTTGCTGGTCTTGGTTTCCTAAACCAGGGTTCAACTGTTGCCCCCCACCCCCAACCCCAATTTCTAGGGCATTCTATTATCTGGCTTAAAAAGCTCTCCTAGCTTGAGAATTCCACTCCCTGAAGCATTTCAGAGTTTGTCTGCCCCAGTTAATATTGAGGGAAGTTGACATCCTCTATTACCCAAATGTTTTTACACTTGCCTATACATCTGTCTTTCCACATCTTGTGATTGGTTAGGGTCGTACAGTACAACCCAGCAAAGTAACTGCCCTATTTCGTTTTGAAGTTGTACATGTATTGCCTCATTGGAGGAAGCTAAGACATCAATCCTCCCTACTGTGGCAAATGACTCCTTTATCAATATTGCGATACCACCTCCTCATTTTGTCTAAAGATTCTACACCGCAGAATATTGAACTGCCAGTCCTACCCATCATCCCTCCACCAAGTCTCCATAGTAATGATATCACAACCCCATGCATTAATCAGCACCCTCAACTCTTTTGCCTTACTTAAGAGTCCTCACTTAAAATAAATGCAATCCAGCCTTGCCATACTCTTTGTACCGGAATTTGACTATATTTGCATTGCCTTTTAGTCCGATCTCTTCTTGTCCGTCACTTCACTCCACTCCACTCCCTATCCCATTCTCTTGGGAAATTAGTTTAAACCTCCAACAACTACACTAGCAAATTTTCCCACAAGGATATTCATGCCACCCCAAGTTCAGATGCAATCTGAACTGGTAAAGGGTCCATTTGCCCCAGAAACAAACCTAGTAATCTAAAGCCCTCCCTCCTGGCCCAATTCTTCAGTCACACATTCATCGGTGCCATACAGCTATTCGTACACTAGCACGTAGCACCAGAAGTAATCCAAAGATTACAATCTTTGAGATCCTGCTTTTTAATCTGCCACCTAGCTCCTGAAATAAGCATTGCAGGATTTCTACACCTTTAAGGCCTTCCTTAAAACTTATCTCTAACCAAGCTTTCCATCTTTTTCTGATAATATCTCAACATTTTGACCCTTTATCTTTGATGTACCTTTCTATAGTAAAGAGGTTATGTAACTTTGCTGTTTGTAGTATATAATATATATATATATATAAAATATTTATAACAATGGAAAATATAGATGCGCTGATTAGTAAGTTTGTGGATGACTCCAAAATTGGTAGAGTTGCAGATAGTGAGGAGGATTGTCAAAGGATACAGCAGATTTGGGCAAAGAAATAGCAGATGGAGTTTAATCTAGACAAATGAGAGGTGATGCATTCTGGAAGATCAAATTCTGGTGTGAATTATACAATAAATGGCAGAATCCTTATGTGCATTGACATAAAGGGATCTGGGTGCACAGGTCCACAAATCCCTGAACATGTGGATAAGGTCATCAAGAAGACATATAGAACACTTGCCTTCATTAGCTGGGGCACTGAATATAAAAGTTGGCAAGTTATGTTGAAGACGTACAAAACTTTAGTTAGGCCACATTTGAATACTGCGTGCAGTTCTGGCCACCACACTACCAGAAGAAAGTGGATGCTCAGGAGAGGCTGCACAGAAGGTTTACCAGGTCAGGAAAGCTTTAGTTACATGAAGCTGGGTAAACTCATTGTTTTTTCTGGAAAGACAGAGCCTGAGGGGTGACCTGATAGAGGTCTACAAAATTATGATAGACATAGATAGGGTGGCTTGTCAGAGGATTTCCCCCAGGATGGAAAGGTCAGTTACAAAACAGCACAGGTTCAAGGTGAGAGGGGGTGGTCTGAGGGAGAAGTGCAAGGAAAATTTTTCACACAGATTGGCGGGAGCCTGGAACACACCGCTAGTGGAGGTTGTGGAAGCAGGCACGTTAGCAACATTTAAGACATATCTTATGGAGGCACACAAATGGAGGCAAACAAAGGAATAGAAACCGTGCATGGGAAACCTTAATGGACCTGTTCATGTGCTGTACTGCATTGAATAATGCAAGTAGTATTTAAGTATAATAAACTGCACATCAGTTCAGTGCATTGCCAAATTCTTGAAGGTCTTGAGTTTAATTTGCAACTAAAAAGCAAAACCAGTGCACAGCCATGAACAGTACAAATGTAAATACATTTAGCAGAAAGATTCTAGTATAGAAAAATAAATTTGTAAGATGTATCAACTTGTATTGCTATTCATTGCCACAGAAAAGCTGCCAAAGGCCCTCCCACCCCAATAATGCTCTCCTCCAACCTCTTCCATCAGGCAGAAGATACAGAAGCCTGAAAACACGTACCAACTGGTTCAAGAACAGCTTCTTCTCTACTGTTAGACTACTGAATAGACCGCTCTAAAATCAAATAGTGTTGATCTTACTACTGTATAGCTGAAACCTCGTGCGTCTTGCTCTAAGCACCCTATGATCTGTATGTCCTTGTTTGCTACGATCTGCCTGTATTGCTCACAAGAAAAAAATATTCGCTGTGGTTAGGTACACATTACTACCATAAATCAAATGCCTGAGAATTAGAGGCTTGAGGGCTGATCGAATCACGGGGCTTGAAGTTATGAGGTGAATTAATAGTGGAATGGGGTAGCATAGAAAATTGGTTCCGCTGTTAAGGGAATCAAGATCCTGCGGCAGCATAATTTTAGAAACTAGTACTCGTTCGTTTGGGGACTGCAAGCAAGAAACGTTTATATCCCCTAAAAAAATCCTAAGAAACTATAGATGCTGGAAAATAAAAACACGAACAGAACTTTATTTTTGCATGTGTTCTGAAAAACGGTCACCGAACTCCAAACATATAACTGTTTTCTCTCTACAGACCTTCAGAGATTCTCCAGCAATTTCTGTTTCTAAAGTTTGTATCCTCACCACACACGCGCATGGTAATGGAAAATTGTAACTCTTCCCAACCACCCTCCCCCAGAGTTAGGTCAACAGAAAGTTTAGGATCGATACCTTTTAAGGTTACCCACAGGATGCGAAGCAAACTTGACTAAATGGGATTGATCTGCCAAAACCAAGATACCCAGCCCGCAAATTCCAGCCCACACCTACTGACCAGGCAGCCAGTAACCGGCCCCTCCTTCCCTGGACAGGCCTCTCGCTCTCAATAATTGATGGATTTCAGTTCGTGAAAAAAAAAATATATATATATATATATATATATATATTCCCGAACTACAACTGAATTTGTTCAGAAAGAAAAACAAACCCACACCCACCTATCTGTCCGTCTGCTCGGAGTAGAGATGGACTTTACCTCCTTCAGTGAGTGACCTCGTGACCCTCAGTCACATGGGCAGAGGACAAATGTCACGCCGCGGTCACGTGCCTTCCCAGTCGTCTCCAGTAGCAACGAGGAGGCGGAGGGACGCTTTTCGGTAAGGAGGATGTTTGGAAACTGGGCCAAATTTTTTCGAGTCGTCCATTTGTTTTATTTTTATGCGTGTCGACATTTCGTGTAAATTAAATCAAATGGACCATTTGTGCTTTCAGTGACATCTGCCGCATGTCGATAGGACTGGTCTATAAACTGGTTGTTCCAGATACGTTCATGAATAGGAAATGCTTGGAGAGACATGGGCCAGGCGCAGGCAGCTGGGACTAGTTTAGTTTGGGATTATGGTCGGCATGGACTGTTTGGACCGAATGGCTCGTTTCTCTGCCGTGTGACTCTGGTCTTTGCCATCAGTCTGTAAATCAGCCGCCACAGAGATTATTGTGGCACGGTGGTAGTATCCCTACCTCTGGGTCTAGTAGACCTGGGTTCAAGTCCCACCTGCCTCAGAGGTGTGTAATAGCATGTTTCAACGTGCTGATTAGAAAATATAAGCGACTGATTCGGATTCTTGGCGGTAAGGTTTCCATATCCCCGTTCCCCTCTGTTTAAAACAACTGTAAAGCAGCTGCTAATCCTCAACTACTGAATTGTTATGGTGCAAAAAGAGGCCTTTTAGCCCGTTGTGTTTGTACCAACTATTCAAATGAGCATTTTTACCTCGTATCCTTCGACATTATTTTTATTCAAATAATTTCCCAATGCTCTTTTGAATGCCTCAAGTGAACTGCCTCTGTTGCATTCCATGTCATGCATTCCAGACAACGTGCTGTGTGAAAAAGTCATTTCCTCGCATCACATTTGCTCCTTTTCAAATCATTTTAAATCTGTGTCCTCTGGTTCTTGACTGAGCGGTACCTGACCCTCCCTAACCATGTTATCAAGTCTGCTAATGATTCTTAAAAATTCTATCAAGTCTCCTCTTAGCCACAAAAACAAAGTTGCTGGAAAAGCTCAGCAGGTCTGGCAGCATCTGTGAAGGAAAAAACAGAGTTAATGTTTTGGGTCCAGTGACCCTTCCTCAGATGGCTTCCTCTTAGCCATCTTTTCTCCAAGGAGAACATTCCAACTTTTTTGATCTATCCTCGTAATTGAAATTTCTCACACCTGAAACCATTCTTCTTAATTGCTTCTGCACTCTCTTCAATATATTCACATCCCTTCTGTAATGTAGCACACTGAACTGTACACAATACTTGAGCAACAGAAAAGTGACCCTTCTGAAAAGTCACATGCAAAAGAAGGAACTGGGCACAAAAATGTAGTGATATTTCGTGACTTAAGGATGGAGGAGAACAACCTTGACATAAGTTACTGTCTTTCTCATTTTCACAACAACTCACCCAGTCTCATGGGGTTTGGGAAATCAGCAAATTTGCAAAGCAACACTTTGCAGCTTTTCACCATCTCATCGTCCCCAGCAACTTTCACTGCATTCACGTGTTTAAGGAATACGCTGTAGTTGTTTTATGGCATGTTTAACTTCTTATACGCCATTTACCTGTTTTTGCTATTCCATTATTTTTCCTTCTGTGTATTCCATTATTGAACATTTTTCATTTGCTCCTCAAGGCTCTCCTTTGCCGTTGTGTTTTAGAAAAAAAAAAGGGTCCCGACCCGAAACGTCAACTTTCCTACTCCTCTGATGCTGCATGGCCTGCTGTGTTCCTCCAGCTCCACACTGTGTTATCTCTGACTCCAGCATCGGCTATCTCCTAGGGAATGAATTTGATGCTTTCACTTTTTATGTGTTAAAAAGATATGGGAGGTGCCTTCTATGCCCTTAACAAACTGCAACAAGCAATCAAGCTTTAAAATCTACCATTTCCATTTGATGTCTTTCAAGATGATGGGTTTTTGCTCATATCTAGACTTAATGCATTCATCCTCCATACTTGGGGAGTAGAAGAATGCTCTTCCCCACACACTTCACTCAATTTCAAGAATGTGACAGTTGTAACTGTCTTCAAGAAGGAAGGTAAGTCATGCTGTCAAAACAATGATGTTTCCCTCTTGCCCATAGCAATGAAAATCATGACATGTTCTCCTAAGTCACCTATTTCCTGTAGCTAAGGATATCTTCTCATAGATACATTGTGACTTTATACTTTCCAGAGGAACCTCTGACATGGTCTTTGCTGCCAGACAAATCCAAGAAAAACGTTGAGAATAACATTCAATGTCCTGACCGAAGCATTTGAGTCAGTAAATCACAAGGTTTTGTGGTTCAGCTCCAAAGATTTGGATGTCCAAGGAAATTTATCATAATATGAATATACAAACATGCAAACAAAGAACAGGAATAGGCCACTTGACCCTTCGAACCTGGTCCGCCATTCATTAAGATCATGGCTAATCTGATTATAACCTCAACTCCACATTCCTGCATATCCCCAATTATCTTTTATCCCCTTGCTAATCAAGAATCTATCTACTTCGGCAAAAAAAATTTAAAGATTCTGCATCCACGGCCTTTTGAGAAAGGGAATTTTAAAGATCAACAACCTTGTGAGAGAAAATGTTTCCTCGTAAATGGGTGACCCCTTATTTTTAAACTATGACCGCTAGTTCTAGATTCTCCCACAAGAGGAAACATTCTTTTAACATTGGTCAAGTCCACTCAGGACTTACATGTTTCAATTAAGTCACATCTGACTCTTTAAACTCCAGAGGATAAGGGCCTAGCCTGATTGGCATTTCCACACAAGATAATCCGCTCATTTTAGGTATTAGTCTGGTAAACCTTCCCTGAACTTTTTTAAACACATTAACATCCTCTGTAAGTACAGTGACCTATACTGTATACAGTACTCCAGAAGCAGTCTCACCTTGTGTAACTGAAGCATGACCTCTCTGCTCTTGTGTACAATTTCTGTCAAAACTGAACATAACATTCTATTAGCTTTCCTGATTACTTGCCGTACCTGCAAACTAACCTTTTGCAAATCATGCACTAGGGCACCCAGATCTCTCTGTATCTCAGAGCTCTGCAACCTCTCACCATTTAGATACTGCATTTCTTTTTTATTCTTTCTGCCAAAGTGGACAATTTCACACTTTCGTACACTGAATTCCATTTGCCAGATCTTTTCCCACCCACTTAACTTATCTATATCCTTTTGTAAGCTCCTTATGTCCTCTTAAATCACTTTCCTACCCATCTTTGTGTCATCAGCAAATTTAGCTACTATACCTTTGGTCCCTTCACCCAAATCAGTTATATAAATTGTAATAATCTTCCATCTGCTTCGTGAGAATATGACTGCAGTTGTCTTCATTGGGAGATCTGAAACAAACACCTATGAAAACCATAGCTTCCAGCCCACTTACAATCTACCCAACTAAGCCTATTCACCTCAAAGATCAACTGATCTCTGATGTTTTTATTAAATACCACCAAGATAAAAATCTCTTTAAACGCAATTGATTTCATGCCAAAACAAAACTGACCATCATAGACAAACATAATCTACAGTTTGCAAATGACTGCTGTTTCATTGCCCACTCTGCACCTGATTTGCAAGCTACTTTCATTCTCCAAGTCGGCTTGCAAGAAACTCAGCTTGACCTTGAATGCAGCCAAGGCAAAACTCCTATCAACCCTCAATAAAACATCTCACCTCCCATAAATATTGAAGAAAAGACTTTGGAATACGTTGAGTGCTTCCCACACTTTGGTGGCCTTTTTTGAAAGGTAGTTGGCATTGATTAGGGAGATCCACTACCAGATCAACTGAAACAAAAACAGAAAGTGCTGGAGAAATTCAGCAGATTTGGCAGCATCGGTACAGTCCAGCAACCCTTCATCAGAACTGAAAGCAGCTGGGAAAGGGTGATATTTATGCAAATGTATACCCTGTTGGAGAGAGGAGCAGAACCTCCTGAAGATGGGCATATGTGGGAAAGATGTGCGGAGATTCGCTGCCACATCTGTTCCAGTGAGTTAAACTCTAAACTAAAATAAAGAACTGTGGATGCTGGAAATCTAAAACAAAAATGTAAAATGCTGAAGAAACTCAGCAGTTTCAAGGTGGGCATATCTAGAAGAGATGCAGCAGCGAATTAAACACTAATATAAAATAAAGAACTGCAGATTTTGTTTCAGATTTCCAGCATCCACATTTCATTGTTTTATTTTATCTGATGTGCTAAACTGGCATGGCTATCTAGTACAGACAACATAATGATAAAGCAGAGCAGCAGAGGAGGAAAGAAAGGTAGCACATCCCACTCTCTAGGTCCCACTACTTTAGAGGACATTCTGCTCCGTGTGCCTAAAGTACAAAGAATCAGCCTATTCAGCCACATGAAGATCCATGGTAGAAACTCACAATCTTAATGCAAAGGTAGCCGATGATGACAACAACGCAGAACAATAATAAATATGTTTATAGTGAACTGATTTGCATTTCAATACTGCAAAATGGAAATTAAGTAATCTTCACTCAGGAAGTTTATGTCTGCAGTCCAGTAGAGGGCAGTTAAGTTATGCAATTCACAGAGGATAAAGCCTGACATTTTCAGCCATTCGTGTGGATCATATAGTGTCAATAATAATATGATTATTGCCACAGAGGCCTGAGCACAGCACAAGTTGTATAATAGGAAAAAAAGTGATAGGGAGGAATGTGGGCATTGCCTATTTTACTAAGTATGTTCTGCATTTTCTAGTTTTAGCTCAAATTTCCAGCAACTGCAGCACTTTGCTTTTGCATTAGTGTTTAATTCACTGCCATTTTTCTTCAAGAAATGTATATCTTGAAGATATTCTGCCCTTCTCTCCTTGATTTCTATATGTCTCTGCTATCTTTGTCTTTCTCCTTACCCTTCACATCATCTTTTTAAAAAGCTTTTACATCTCTAACATTGCCAGTCTGATGAAAGATCAACAACCTAAAATATTTTCCTTCCTGCAGGTACTGGTGAAGCTGCTGCTTATGTCAAATTTCCAGCATCAGCAGTACTTTGTTTTGTATTGAAGACAGATGTTGGTGAGACTAATGCACAATACGAA